AAATTGCTAGTATGAAAGTATCAAAGATAATTGAAAAGATTATTCCCGGAGTCGAGCATCCAATTCGTTTCAAAGAGGATTTATGTTTCATCTATGCGAACAGATAATGCATACAGATTCTAATATAGATTCTCTTTCAATACAATCTAATCGTTTTTATCGTGATTTTTTTATCAAAGACCCTTTGTATTCTTTCTAGCAACGTATATAAAAATTAAATCTATAATTCTGCCGTAATAAATTTTTTTATCGCTTAATAACTAATTTAATTTGTGTAAAAAAAAATTGTGTGTATTTTTATTAAATTAGATTATATTGTACTTAGTAAAAAATGCATATTACTATAGTAAATTTTGAACTAATCTGTCTGCGTGTATCTGAAGACGAAATAAAGTCTCATAATAGGACATGCCCGAATATTATATTATAGTATTTTGTATCTCACTCACTCACTCACTCACTCTCTCTCTCTCTCTCGCTCTCTCTCTCTCTCGCTCTCTCTCTCTCTCTCTCTCTCTCTCTCAAGGTCAAGGCCACTCCATTTAATGGAGTATTTTGTAACCATTGTACTAAATATTTAAACTCCTTGTTGCTTTCCACTCTAACTGTATAATTCCTACTAGAGTGTATAATTGCTATTATAATTTTTACTATCTAAATAATATCGTTCACATATTCTCGCCGTTATAATAAAAAATTTCATACGCGTAGTATTTCATAAAATATATGTCCAACATATAAAAATATTTACCGACTAAGTTACTACGGAGTTCATAAATTTTTCTATGGTTTTTTAAATATTAGTCCCAGTTTAAATGAAGAAATAAATAATTTCACATTTCTACATTCATAAAGAAGTAAATTACATAACCGTTCAATACTATTCTCCATTATTTTTATCTCTTTTTTAATAGCGAAAAATTCAACAAATTTTCTCATGCTTTATACTATTTGTATTCCCAAAAGAACTGTTACTCATTTGCTTTGTTGTCAGTAAAAAAAACAAGTAAAGATTTCCTTGACCGAAATGATACAGACGCTCGCACGGATCGCTCAAGGAACGTTATTCAAAGTAAGATTACGTAAATTGTTCCTTGTGAAGAAACTCAAGGATGCATCTTATTAAAGTTTAAAACTTTTATTTTATAAAATATAAGCGAACTAACGCTTTAACTGTATGTCTCTTATGCCATTTCTAAAATAAAACGTTTGAATTTAAAGAAAATCAGCATTTATGTTTGTTTATTTTTTAGCTGACTTCAAAAAGAAAGAAGTTATCAATTTATCTGTATGTTTTTATATGTGTTTCCGCGCAACTCCGCCCCTGGTGCTACGATTTAAAAAAAAATTGATAGAAAGGTTTTTAGCTGAAAAAAAAACTTATTAAGTAATAAGGTCCGTTTTTTATCATAATACAAAACATATCTTTATATGTGACACAAACATTAAATAAGGCTTTTACACAAAAATCTATTTACATATATAATCTACATATTTAATAGAAGGCCCTCACGCAAAGTTTTGTGTAGAGCCTTATCAAATTATCTTTATCATTCATTTTAACATTTACTATTAATATTTGATGGATAACTTTTAAAATGTCGACGCCAGAATCTAATTTATCGTACTAAATAGCATCAATGAGCAAATCGTTTGCTATGTTAAATTTTTAACGAAAAAACGCTATTTAGATGTGATTTTTGAAAGGCATTCAAGACCATAATGACAGTGAAAATACCATAAGAAGAAAGAATCGAAAATAAAAAGATTAACATTAAAATAGCTCGATACGATTTAAACTAATCAGATCTGTTTATAAAAAAACTTATATAAACTTTTGTTTAGTATGTAAATGTATAAACAGGTTCATAATTTTTTTTATAGTAGCATACTGGCTGTACGTACAACACTTTATAAATGTTCTAGATCCTGTCTTGTGTTGCCAGGAACATATGTTTCCTTTGAAAAATGTACACTAGTAGACAAAGGCTAAAAAAGAGGACACTTCTTTCTTTTGTCACGTTTTAAACATTTTAAAGACGTCTGTTTCTTTAACCTTTTTGATGAATTTTTCTACTGGTATAAAATGTCTTCTTGTATCATTAAAATTGTATAATTTATTAAAACAACTATCTGTCGCCCGCAACTACGTCCGTGGGATATTAAATAACGTAATTAGTAGCCGATGTGTTCTTCCAGACTATGTTCTATATGTAAATCAAATTTCATTAAGATTTATTTTGGAGATACCTTCAAACAAACATCCATCCATCCATCTAATAATTTACATTTATAATTTTAATAAAAATACAAATACACCTTTATTAAATCAAATATAACCAATAATTGTTGAAAGTTCAAGAAAATACATTTACAGTTCTCAAATTCTCTAAACTAACCTTAAATAAATCCTTTTCAAAACAATTAAATTATTAGACTAACCTCTATCCACAATATAAGTAAGTCATTTGACCAAGTTCATAACTGTTTTGATTAAATCAATTTATAAACTAAATTGGTATCGGATATTGAATATACTAACCAAACACTATTAGACCGTTACGTAATTGAACGCCTCTGACCTGTCACCAGTAAGTTATTACGATTACTTTTAGAACGTGTTAGCAATTTTATATAGTCTGTAATTCCTTAACCTATAACGTTATTTAGTCTATGCTATAAGTCAATAACACTTTTGTTTATTTAAAATAACAACATTAATCATTAGTATTACGATCCAAAAGATTATTTAAATATTTGATTCTCAAATGTAAAATAGAAGTTGAACTTATCATGTTAATAATCTGACAGTATTTCGTGATCGTAAATTAAAAGTATTGTAATTGCTCGTCTGAATGTCGGCCATGTTTTTTCTGACATTCGGGTAATCGTGAAGACAATGTTACAGCGGTGTTTTATAAAAAAGTTGTTGTTTTCAATTTCAAAAGAAATATATGAGTTGAAAGAGACAATGTTTTATTTGAAAAAGTATTCTCCGACTGTGACTCCCACAAACGCAACGTCCTTGTTAACAATATGTCTAAAAACACAATAATACATGTGTTGATCGAAACTGGACGTATAAATTTCGGCAAAATAATCTTAAATTGTTATTTTTAAAATAACCCTTCACATTATAAGCAGTTCTTTTCATATAAATCTTTTTCGATTTTTGAAAAATAATCTGTATCCAATTATACGTACATGAACAAAACTTTAGTGACGTCCGTAATAAACAAAGATAGAAAACAAAAAGGTGGAGGTAAATTCATTACAGACAAGTTTCAGTGGCTTATGCGTTGGCATCCTAAATCAACAGTTTACGAGTCTCTCCCGCTGGGAGCGTTCAGCTTGGGGCTAACTGTTTTGATCCATATCAAGAGATAAAGCGGTTTCACTGTTTATGACAAAAAGACACTTTCTATGGGGGCTTTTATATTTTTTGTTCGATCTGATCTTATAAACCACTGTCGACGTAAAGTCAAAGTTGTAAGGACGTTAAATTGTATAGAAAGGTCGTGTCTCTGCATCTGTATTTAAATAATCACCTTGAACCATGAACAAATGTACATACATATCCGCTATCTCTTATGACCTACACTACTAAATGAATGTTCAATTACATAGAAACGTCTGTAGTATACACACATTATGTAATCGGCCCGCACTTATCTATATTGGATAGTACAGACAGCAAGAAATCACCAAGGCTTAATGTTTAAGGATCTTTGTTAATGTATGAAACATAATTATGTTGTTTGAATGTTTATTTCGCGATAATTCTTTGTCTGTTTATCAAAATAAATTGCTTCTTAATCAATCAATTAATCAAGGAAAATGACAAATAAGATTATTTCTGTGCATCCTCTCCTCCGTCGATCAAAGGTAGGCAACGCATATGCAATTGTGTATGTCTATGGGCAACGGTCACTTCGCTATATCAGCGATTTCAGGTGGCCGCTTACTCGTTTGCCACCTTATGATATAAAAAAAATATTATTTCCTAATTACAAATGCTAAAATAGTCGCTACATCAAGTATTTTGTCGTTTATATATGTCAACAGCTTTACTGGCATCAAAACCTCTTTACTTTGTGGAAATGAAATGTTTTTAACGACAGTTTTAAAGCTTCAGTTATTACATATAAAAGCTACATTCGTTACCGCGTTTTTCTCGCCTGCATTTATTCTGTTCGAATTTTTCAGCCCTTCTTAGTTCGTTCGCATTTTTACCTCATGTTAATTTAATTTACACGTTTTGATTCCAACTAAAAATAAAAATTAATGACTAAAAGATCCTGGTATTCAAATAAATAGGAATGTGAATCTATGTGTTTGGAACTGTTTTCTTTTAGGGAATGCTAGACGCCTTTTTAAAAAGCATAATAGTAACATTGCAAACTTGCTATAAATTTTCATCAGGCACACCTCGGTAATCAGTTATTCGATCACACTTATTGTATAACCTAAAAACACGTATAAAACACAAGTCAGTACAAATAAGTAGGCTAAATCTTGCCATTTACATCGTAAAAGGCGGCAGGTAATGTGGCGGAAAAATGAGCCGTCGTTCCTAAAGGTCTTGTAGCTAACATTTATGATGATTGGGTCTTATCGGTTATCGTGAAATAATTGCGGTCACCTTGTACATTAAGCTATCCAAACTTCAGAAAAGTAGTTATAACTTAACAAAACATATTCGATAAAATAACAAAGAAAAACATTTTTTTATAACAATCTTTGTCATACGACAAATGTCAGGTTCACTAAAGCACTCCAGATGGAGTGCTTTAGTGAAATATAGATATATTTCAAACAAGTCATCGATTTTTCTAATATGTAATGGTCATTCGCTCTTCCAAGGTCGAGAATTGAAAAAATAACTGATTATTCGAAGAAAAAAGCGATATTTGCTTACTATGCAATCATTATAATATTTTCATAGAACAGTTTAAAAAGGTTACGAGGTATACACGTATTTATATCAATTAAAATATTTGTTCTTTTTATAGACTGTTTGTGTACAAAATCATAGACAAAATGGCGGCGAAAACCATGATCAGCTGACGATCTTGTAGACCTGAACTATTTAGTCTTGTACTTTAATAAGCTGCCAATTACATTAACTCCATCTGGATTTATCACATTGAATCAATTAATATCAGATCGATCCTGAATCGGTGCATAAAATCATTTTCTAAAGTTCCAAAATTTTACAATCTTTATAATTCCGTGCAATCATTACGTCAAATCATACGTGTGATCTTGGTGAAAACTGAGTTATCTACTTTTCAATATATCAATATAAATTGCGATTTGCCCAAATTTCTATAATAATTAAGATATTTAAACCGTTCACTATTAGTTACAAACTTTACCACAAAACGTTTATTGTCGCTGCTAGCGCTTCAAACAAGCCGGTTGCAGCGGACCGTGATTCTAAAAGTGGATAGTCTGAACTCCACTAATTAGCGTTAGACTAAACATTAGACGATATCAGCGAGAGTGGGACAGACAAAATAAGATTGTATAAGTGCGAGTGAGACGGGAAACTTCGGCAAGCTTCCAAGATGAATTTGATGTTTCGCAAGAACTTCAGCGGGGAGAAGGCGAGCACGGGCGGCGGTGGGGGCGGGGGAAAGGCGCGGGGTGCGCTGGGCGCAGGCAGGAACGCCAAACGGCGCGAGCGCGACAGGTTCTGTATGGAGGAACATCATTATAGGACTCATCTGTTCTTCTCCGCGCCTAGGACAAGCGCGCAGTACACTGACTCAGGTAACTACGTGATATGTTAGTTGGCACTGTGAATAACACGGGTATTAAGCGTCAAGAAACAATAACAATTAAATACAACACATAAATATCTTGTATATGTCCTTTATTATCATAAACAATAAGTTTTCTCAAAGTATGGTGGACTGTGTATTTTGTTCTTGGTTACAAATTGCTTGTTATTTATTTTAGAGAAATTGAAAGTGTCGACAATATGTTGTGCCAATCTTTCGGCATTGTAACTCACATTTATGTTTAAAGATTGAATAGTTGTCTTGATACGACATGATTGAATACGATAGTTCATCTCATCTATGTGACCTTGCAACCATGCAACAGGCCAAAAAGACAAAAGAATACCTAATATTTAGTTGAACTGAATTTGCTAAATGTGTATCTAAAACAACTAGGTTTTAATAAAAAGACGTGGATATTGTTCATTATTTAATAACACGATATCACCAAAAATTAACTTTAAAGATCTAGACTACTATTAATAACTCTTCCAGACGGATGTTTATTTTGGCGCGTCTATTTCACTGAAACCACTCAAATAATCATAAATCGCATCCACTTATTTAAAACCATGTCTCCCATGATATGGTCAAATTATAGAATAGTAATCGAAGTAGTGGATGTTTTGTTCTAGGTTATCGAGAATCCATTGGATCAGGATGGCAAGGTACACTAGGGAATTTTACTACCCAAAGTAAGTGGGTGATTGGCTGATGATGAAGATTTTAAAGACATCCAGTATTAGTTTACAAAACAACGCTACTGGAATTTGAAATATCAATATCTCTACTCGCTCTATTTATAAGGGCTCCAAAATTTCAAAAACCCATTTACAGAATGCGGTCCTCGTAATTTGCAAATTTAAATGCCTTTGGAGTCTACTCTATTTCCTGTCCTATTTGTTAATCACGCACTTTATTTTACTGGACAGTTAGGTAAAGTGCATTCGCTACGAAGCGATTCGATAGCGAACTTCAAAAATGTATGGAACCGGCTATAACTTTCGATAAGTTACGTGATTATCGCGCGTAAGTTTCATTCGTTTTTGAAGTTCGTTATGGAATCGCTTCGAAGCGAATGCAATTTTTCTAACTCTGCTGTTCCTCTTTCGTGTTAATTAAATAACTGTCATCCAAATCTTATAAAACATTCGAACAAAATCGACGCTATACGTATTAACCTTGTGGTAACTTCGGCGTTAATTTACACAAAATAACTTTGCTAATGGCCACGTATAAAATGTGCGTGATAATAAACACGCCACATTTTATTGCTCAACGAAACATAACACCGTGGATATCATTTTAAATCCTATATGAACTATATGAAAACCTTATTTGTAGGCTATTGTACAAATTGTAATTTAAAACTTACGTGAATTAATAATTCTGATACGAATAACGGGGATTCTATGTTGTCAACTCTGAATTCTTTGCGTGACTTTTATTTCTATTAAATGTTCCTGTCGACTGTAATATGCATTCTGTGTGACTTATTAAATTGTAAATAAACAAAATGTGCTTGTTTTCATGGGAGTTTTCATGAATATAATCTTGATAATACTATTGTCGTAATGATGTACATACCTGTAAGGGCACCCCAGGAGATGGGTATCCATGTTATTCTTCTAAAGACAATATTAAGGGCATTTCTCATAACTCAGAATTGAGTACTATAGGTCAGGTTCTGCCTTGGACTTGTTCTCGTATTGTTTATATAAAATATATATCTTGGCCTGTGACATAAGACAATAAAAACACCCTATGTCCTGCACCGTCTTCGGCGATATTTACTAAGTTCGTTATGTTTGTGTTGCAGAGCGATGTGGTCCGGTGCTGGGCGGGGGCTCAGGGTCGGAGCCGGAGCCCCCGCAGCCGCTGGTGACGCGCGAGCCGGGCGTATCGCTGCTGCGTTGGGACCGACCAGCTCCGGAGCGCCGCCGCGCGGAGCCCGTCCCGCTGGCCACGCTAGAGAAAGACTGCTTTGTTATACCAGCACACGCTCTTGACAGATTCCTGCCAGACGGTGTACCAGTATGTATCTGTACCTTTATTTGAGACGAATCTTCTCATAATAATTAAAAGGAAGGTAGAATCATGAATCATCCATTTCACAAAAACTTGGTGTCATCTGTTGCCAAAATTAAGGATTTCTTACCTCCTACACACACACACACCAACTCACTTTCTCTTGCATCTTCAACCAAAGCATGACCTCTTAATATATAACATTAATTTTATATTCTGACACTTTTCAGTTGCCGGTGCCTCCCCCCACACCAGAGAAGGGCATAACAACGAAAGCTACACAAAATTCCCTCAGCATCCTAGAAATAGCGGATCCGAAACTATGCATATTGGCACATTTAATGAGTCCCTTGGAACCTATAGAACCTATTTTAGAATCGCCACTCGCTAAACCCTTGATAAAACAGAAAATGGCCGCGGGAGAATTACTCAGTGATATTGCTCAAGCAAATACAGCAGTTGGTGGAATGTTGTTAGCAAATATGGAAAAGAATTCAGAGTTCCCTTTCATATCGTATTACGTTATAAATACAACACAAACGGATCCATTGTTATTTTATAATAACTTAAGAGGCGCGTCATTGAGTAAATTCGACCCGAAGACAATTAGATATTCGGCAGCGCATACGTTGGATTTGTATAGCGAAGTTGCAATGATATGTCGACCGCCGTTCAACGATTTAGCCGGTGGTCCGAAGAAGTCACACACACCGACAACCGGATTTATTATTAGCGTGTACAAGGTGAGAAATAAACAGCTGTCTTTTATTTAATTATTCACATGTCATAGGAACAAACTTACACTTCGTGAAACAAATTCAGTCGATATTCAAGAAAATTTCTATTTACTTAGACGCTTTAAATAATTTGAGTAATGATACACAATTATATTAATCTAGAATAGAGTTATTTTGATAAACAAATAACAAAAAACGATGTCCCAAACAAGGCTAAGTACGCATTGAATGAAGAAGGATATAGTGGTAGGAATAAGCCTAGGCAAAGGACGTATTAAGTAGAGAATGACTACTACGAATGTTAAATCGATCTGGTAGAAAACAGAGATAGGTTAATGTGTTCTTTTAAGTTCTAATGCAGGTTCTTATCTCATTCCAGGTTTTCGAAGGCGACGATGGTGAACGATTTGAAAGGAATTGGTTATATTGGACAGGGGCGAGAATGTTGTATCGACATTTGCCTCACACAGTCGGAATGAGGAAGATCGCCCTCCACAAATCTGTGGCAGCGCACGGCGACAAAATGTACCTGTTGGTCTGCGAGTGTGCCAACTTGTTGGACGACTTGTCCGGCGCGGCAATGCTAGTGACGGCCCTCCGAGCTCGTCTTTGTGGCTACACCGGCTTATACAAACCCATACAAACATTCTAGTAGAGGGCCCAAGGCCAGGGCCTTGAATGTGTAACGGACTTTTCGGGATTTCAATTATCCTCAACAGATGGAGTTGTTTTCACTTAAACACGTTTGAAATTTAATAATGCAATAATTTAATATGTAAGTTCTAATTCTATTAAACACAATTCGCGAATTTTTCAATAAAATTAGATAGTAAATAGTAGTCAATTTGCTTAAATAAACCAAACATTGCCGATAATTGCCAATCGATTAAAATTTAAGTCCTAATGCTAATAATGTTGCTTTTTTAATGTTTATTAAGGTAATTATGTAAGTTTACCTGGTGTTTGGACCAACAACGCTTTATCACTTGGTCAACATCAGCTCAAGTTGTGAGAAATGGACCAAAGAACTAATTATAGAATATTATGATCGTCCACAAAGGTCGTACTAAAAATATCCTTTTTGCTAAATACAAATTGTCGGTTTTTAATACTGTATTTAACTGCTAACTAAAAACTTTGTGCATGTTGTGCCAAAAATGTACAATTATAGAAAAAAATACAGACAAATGTGTCACTTAAGAATAATTTAATAGCAGTGTGAATTTTACAACCTATGTTTTACATTATATTTTGTTAAACAAGATTTTTTTATCCTTTTAAGATAAACAAAACGATAAAAAAATTGAAATTTCAAGGTCATGTCAGACATGTCTATTGGCAACATGACGTTTTCCGTTCGGATATTTTTAGCATGGCCCGTAAAGCGTTTGCGTGATATATTATATCGAAGCGCGTCGAGTTCTTAACTAACAAAATATATGATGTTAATGTCAAATTTTATTATTAATAAGCTTCTAGTAGTTTTACAATTATAATTAAGAACAAAAAACATTCACAGATTTGTTATACATTGTACGTAATTTCAATTTTCAATCTTCATAGCCTTTGCTAAAAAAACAATTTGCTTGGAATTTCCTCGTAAAGTTTTTCATTTTTGTTTATAATTCAAATATACGCCAATAATAATCAGTTTAATTTTTACTGTGTCTACATATCCATAAAAACATATCAGTAATGCTTCAAATACAAAAATACATTTATCTGTGACAAATGAATAACGCGTGATTTTTAAAATAATTTTAACGGACTCTACAGCATTGTACTTGTGTTCTCTTTTCTGTAAAGAAATAATAGAAATGAACTAAAATAGTATTAATTTCGAAGCAATAAAATGTAAATCACGAAAAATTAATTGTTCATTATTAAATTATTATAATGGTAAAAATTAATTATCAACAGCAACATCGTTATCGTTTGAATTTTTCCTTATAAAGCAACCAATTACAAAATGAAATTAACGAAATTTTGGTACTAAAGAAACATTTTTAAATGTTCTATCCTTTTAATTCAATTTTAACTGTTTTTTTTAATTGCCAACAATAATTGGCGCACCCAAAATTTTTAAGCCACAGTGTAATTTATTAAAGCTACTTACTCATTATTAAAAACTTGAAAAATGTCCGAAAATACATTAAAAACAAGAAATATTATGTGTAACTTTTTTTAATTTTGTGACCTGGTAACATAGACCTTTAGGTCATATCTTATTTGTGTAACTTTATAAGCATCAACTACCACAGAGTCAAAAAATAAATTGATGTCTTTAGACTATGTTTTTCTTAACCTAACCTCTCCTTAATTGCTTTGTAACGCAGACTAAAACTGCGACATTTGAAATATTTTATATTGCACATAGCAACATTTTTAGATTCTTAATTGAATTAAAAATTGTAATAGCACTGCCTTACCTTACTAATTTGTATTTTAAAATAATTTTCTTCAAATTTGTGTATATAATGTAGGAAATTAGTTTTAAGAATAAGCTAGTTATTTGGCATTGATTAGCTTTGGAAGCTGTTATTAATTATGGCCTAAGCTCCAAATAGACAAACAAAATTTCTAATTTATTTTTATAATAAAAAGTGAAATTGATACTGGCTTTTATTTACAACCTCATTATTGTTCAACCCTATAGCAACCATCCAGTAGGAAAGTCTAAAGGATAGTATATATTAAGTGCTACGAAAATGATTCCAATTACTACCCAGACTTCTTTTACTCAAAATGAGCAATTTAAGTACTTTTCCACTGGTGCGGCTACAACTATGTTACAAATGAAATTGCACTGGTGGAAATTATCTATACTTTAACAATAGGAATGTGACTGAATTCATTGGTTCATATCCATTCTTTTGCATTATCTAAATGGTAAAACTTGAAATAAAACTACAAAATACTATAAAAATTGTTTATTCAAGTCTTTCAACAAATTACATAACTAAGAGAACAAAAATAAATATTTACATTATCTACTAGTTTTATTAATATCCTTTGAGCCCTCGAAATCTTCTTCGGTTATCAAGCTGAAAGAGGAAACAATTATAAATTGAAAAAGTATAACATTTACAGGCTTGTACACCATAGTACAACATTTATATATAAGTTTGATGAATGTACATAATCTCTAATATCTATGTACGTTCATTCTTCGCCAAACATTGAGAATCGATAAGTTAGGGTTATGTAGTAATAAATGTGGAAGGTATTAAGGAAAACCTAAGTACAACAGTGGGCAGCAAATAATAATAGTAATAAATGGCTTACCAGTGATCTCTTGCATTCGAAAAAAATCTGCCGCAATTGATGGCATTCGTCAGAAATCTGTCCTTCCTTTAAACATTGCCTTGGAGTCTTCCTATCCTAAAAACATTCCAACAATTAAACAATGTGTTAGTTGGAGTGTATGGTAAATTTAAATTATAAGAAACTAACCACTTTACAACAAGGACTATTTAATAAACAAATCTTAAGATCGGCTCTTATAGAAGCACACGCAGTGTTATCTGCTAATTTTACATCATCAGGACCATACACAACCATTTTTATGTTATTTCGATATCCAATTAGTTTTTTTCCAAGTAGTCAAATCGGCCGATAAGACTCTGGTTGATATTTTATTAGTTTCACTGATAAACACCTTTTATTGTATAATCTTGTATAATATTTTGCACAATTTTTGGTTACAAATTATAATTGTTGACAATTGACATTGACATTGACAGTACAATAATAGTTTTTTTAAAGATTTCATGACCTGGTTAACAGGTAAACTGACATGGACACCAGTGAATGAAAGCAAGGGAAAACTTTTAATTCAAGGTTAAATCCTTCACTAAAACTGAAAAATCCAAATAAGATCAACCATCGTTTACATATTATAAAGTTTTATTTGTTTTATTACTTTATAATTAAAGTTTTATAGAAAAAAAACACAAAGTCCTTCATTCGTTTCCACCAAGTTTCGGCGATCGAAACGTGAAATTGTCTCAGATGTGCAGTTAATTTTTTTGTCAAAAGTCAAAACAAAGCACTTTGACAGTCAGCTGTTATCTCCATCATATGTCAGTGTATCGGAATATTTTGCAATATTTTTAAGTGATTTAACGATAAAATAAAACATGGTTAAAGTATTACCCGTTATTTCAAGAAAACTATCACACGTCTGCAGCCTGAAACCATTCAAGGAAACAAAATGGTTAATGCCGAATGGGAATCCAATTGGAGTATATGTTTACAATTGTATTGCCGATCAAAAGGTACCGGTAATTTTAAATGATCCATCTATCGCTACATGGTACTCCTGTGGCCCCACTGTATATGATTCCGCTCATATAGGTCACGCATGCTGCTATGTAAAATTAGATATTTTACAAAGAATTATGAAATCTTTTTTTAACATCAAGTTAGTCACTGCAATGGGTATTACCGATATCGATGACAAAATAATAAAGAAAGCCAAAGAAACCAATACAGATTTTAGAGTATTAGCTAAAAACTATGAACATGAATTCTGGCTAGATCTATCAAGTTTAAATGTTGAAAAACCAATGATAATTACTAGGGTATCAGAATATATGCCTACAATACAAAGTTTTGTTAAAAACCTCATAGATTCAGAAATGGCTTACATTGCTGCCGATGGCTCAGTATATTTTGATACAAGTAGATTTCCTTCATATGGAAAATTACAAAATATGCAAGATAATGGTGAACCGACAAGTAATGAAAAGAGGAACAAAATGGATTTCGCTCTTTGGAAAGGTTTTAAGCCGGGCGAACCTTTTTGGGAGACTTCTTGGGGTAAAGGAAGACCAGGATGGCATATAGAATGCTCAGCTATGGTCAGTAAAGTGTTTGGCAGTCAAATAGATTTCCATGCTGGTGGTATTGATCTCCAGTTTCCACATCATGAGAATGAGGAAGCTCAGTCATGTGCCTTCCACAACACAAGGCAATGGGCAAACTACTGGATTCACGTTGGACATTTAAGTTTAAAAGATGTAAAGATGTCTAAATCTTTGCAAAATACTTTATCAATTCCGGACTTTCTTAAGATGTATACATCTGATATATTCAGAATGGCATGTCTTATGTCAAATTATAGATACTCAATGGAGTACACGGACGAAGTTATGAAAACAGCTGAAAGTGTATTAAAAAAATTTAATTTTTTCCTTAATGATGTTTTAATTTACGTAAATAAGAGTGACACAGGACATGGGGATTATGATAATAAACTTTTAAATGAACTACAAAACATAGAGAGTGATAATTTGGAAGCTTTGAAGAATGATTTTGACACATCATCCTGTATAAATTCTCTACTAAACATAGTAGCGGTTACTAATAAAATAATAAAAGCTGATACCAAAGATTATTATCCAGTACCTGTGATACTAATCACTCAGTACATAACAAATACTTTAAGAAACTTTGGTTTAAAACTTCAAGATACTAAAGAAAATGATTTATCTAACTCAATAATAGATACATTGGTTGATTTTAGACATACAGTAAGAAATAATGCTTTACAAAGAAAGGATAAAGAATTGTTAACGGCATGTGATACGGTCAGAGACAAAATGAAAACTATGAAGATTCAAATTAATGACAATAAAACAGCATCATGGGTTTTTACTAAATAAATTATATATAAAAGTTTTATTACTTTATTTTATGTGATAGTCAAATAAAAATATGAATTGGAACAATCGGGAAGGAGTAACCAACCATTTATAATTTATACTAAGCTCCTCGTGACTATGTCCGCGCGGGATTAAAAAAACTTTGCAAATAGCCTATGTGTTCTTCCAAACTATGATCTACATCTATGCCAAATTTAATTAAGATCCATTGAGCCGTTCCAGAGATACCTTCTAACAAACATCAATTCATCCTTCCATCTAAACTTTCGTATTTATAATATTAGTAAGAAATAGTAGTAAGCCACCACTTTTTAAGGATATTACTTATAATTATCGTATTCATTTATTTATCATATTCTTAATATAGTACATTTCATATCTAAAATAAAAAATCATACAAAATATATTATATTAAAAATAGAGCACCACCGGCTCTGGAATCCCATGACTCAAACAACCAATGGTCAGGGCTGCAGACAGGAACCTTCTCACGATGCGCGCGGTTATTATTATTATATTTATAAAGTTAATTTGTAGGTATTAAATAAAAGTACAGAATCTGTCAATCATTTTTATTCACATATCTTCGTTACATTTGTGTTTGGTGACTAGATTGTGATGTTTTGCAAACAATATTTTTTAATTTTACGTCAATATACATTACAGATGTACATTAACTGATATGTAACCAACCTAAAAAATATTTCAACTTAAATAAAGAAAAAAAAAAGGTTTTTTGTTGTTTTTTCTATGAGTATCGTATTATTGGAAAAAGGTTGGTAACCTCTTTGCGTCAAACTTTAGTCAGTTTTATGCCGTACTTTTTTCATAGTCAACACAAATGAATAAAAACATATTTTCGTCTCTTTCTTGACCAGAGACAAAAATACGTTTTACTACAAGTATTTTAATGATATTTCTCATGTTTTCAACTTTCAAGTTCAAATTTATGGCAAGTTTTATTTTAAGATTAATAAAATAAAGAACTTAAGATGTATTATTATGTCGCCTTCACAAAGAACTTAAATCAGATTGGAATAGTTTAAACAGAAAAAAAAATAGCTTAGTTCATCTCAGTCTTATAACTTCCAATAACAAAAAGCGAAACTTATTTTAAGGAATTTGTTCAAAATTTAGTTACAACACGAGCGCAAATTAACCATTAAGTACAATTAATTGATTCAAATCAGATCGTTATTACAAAATGCATTTCACTTGACTACAACGTTTAAAAACTTTGATTAATTTTCATGAAATATAAATTCCAGTTTGATATCTTGGCGTCCTTGAGAAAAAGAGTGTTGAAAGACAGACGGACGGACAACAAAGTGATTCTATAAGACCATATAGGCCAGAATCTATTTCACAAGTATTTTTTTTCTTATTCGTTTTTAAGGTAGGAAAAAATCGGAACCCTTGTAGGATCACTTTATTGTCTGTCAACATCCTTTTTTAAATATATTATCACTTGAAACAACATGTTACTGTCAAAGAAACAATTCCCTTTCAAAACTATTAATAAATCCAATGTATATTTATAATGATTGTACTTCGTAGATTTAAAATACGATAAAATATTAATAAATACGACTCTATAATTCAATAGCTAAGTGAAATGCATAAAAAAAGAAAGAAAAAAACAAATTTAGTGAGCTAAATGAAATATTAAAAACAGTTTGATATTCAATTGGTTGCTAAAACTGTACCATTTTTGTCTTGTATCATATGTTCAGCTTTATATACCTTCCATGAGACAAGATAATCTCTTAATAGTTTGAATAATGTGTAATAATTGATGAAAAGTAAGAAAATGATCGCCATAAAGTTGTGCCACGCTATAGAACTGAACAGTAAACACAATTGAACAACAACTAATGTTAACTGTAGACTTACGAGCAGACACAGCAATGTTGAGGGATTTATGAACACTGCCTGTAAAAACAAAACATTTAAATCAAATACTAGCAGTCGCTCACGACTTCGTCCGCGCTGAATTAAAAAAAAACTACAGGTCAGCGTAATGTTATATAGCCTAAAGCCTTCCTCTATTAATGGACTATACAACTTTTTTTTTTTAAATCGGACCAGTAGTTCCTGTGATTATCGTAAACAAACAAACACTTCCGCTTTATAATATTAGTATAGATAAGAAAATCAATAATTTCAACTTATCCTGAAACACATACAGCCATTTTCAACAATTACGTTATTAATAGGAAGATATTAGGTAGATACGTGATATATTTGGACCTCTCCTACTTGTGATGTTCCGTGATATTTTTTTTTCTCTCTCTGAGTCTCACGTGGTTAGAGGACTACACATAAGTTTTTTAATCTGTTTAATATATATGTAACTGATATATTCATAATAAATAATTCTTCCCTTTTATTTCTGACTTTTATTGCTATTTATGTTTTATATACTCTACTATCTACGTTAGCCCCTACGACCGGGCCAAAGACGAGACAAGCTAGAGGTTGTCTGGAAGAGATCTCTACAACCAGAGAGATTTAATCATAAGGGCCTTTTTCCATTACATATTTAAATATTACAAAAAGGAAAGCCTATGCCCAACAGTGGGCTTTATATTGCTGAAACGATGTAATTTTTTTTAATTATTTTTTGTACTGTTGCAAAAAAGTAGTAAAGATGAACAAGAGTTGAATAAAATAATACATACGTAGAACCTGGCGTGGTGCGTGTCTGCGGGGTGCGCGGCGACGTGCGGCGCGTCCGCCACGTACTCCGCGTCTGCGTGACGCACGCGCGCCCCCCGCCCCCACCACCGCGACCCGCACCACGCTACGCTGCTCTCTGATCCTGCAACATCCCTTGCACTGATTACATCTCATGACTCTGCATCTCGGAGACCTAAATCTATTCTTACAAGTAAAGGATGAGAAGGGGAAGTTAAATTGGCGGAGGAGGACAGAGGGACGCAAATAATGGGCAACATTCTTTTTCTGTGCCGCCTACATCGATTAAAGGTTGGCAACGCATCTGGAATTGCGAATGCCTATGGGCAGCGGTCACTTCACTATTTCGCCGAATCCAGGTGACTGCTTGCTAGTTTACCACAATTATTTAATAAATTAATAGAATCATTAACGCTCCTTGTTTTTATAATAATTTTTCGATTTTCAGTATTAAATTGAAAATGTTAAGAAAATCGATATTATTATATAATCGATTAGAATAAAAATCGATATATATGAGTACTGACCGTGGAGTGGGGCGAGTCGCCATCGTCCGAGATGCAGAGCTGCGCGGTGCGAGACATCGCAGTGCGCAGCGCTCAGCAGGTGAGCGCAGTATCGGCCGCACAGCGCGCACAGCACTAAGCCTACCTGCTGACTTGCCGCGTAGATGTCGTAGTACAGGAACGGCTGACACAATAGCATAACCTCAAAACTATAGTAAAACTAGAACTAGAAAAATTCAAATCCTAGATCCTGCTATGAAAGAACTGTTCCAAATAAACTCTTTATTAAAGAATATTCTATATGTTCCTCTTTACAAGACAAGACAAAGAAACAACTGATAAGAAATTAAAGTACTTTTTATTATAAAAATCTCTTTTATATTTCATCATCAACCAACCCGCACTTGGCCAGCGTGGTTGACTATGGCCTAATCACCCTAAACTTAGGGTAGGGTCCGAGCCCCTCGGTGGGGACGTATAGTGAGCTGATGATGATGATGATGATTTCATCATCTTAACTTTCGAAATTGATATAATTTTGTAGTTCGACCAATCTATACCTATCAATAGCAAATACTACATTGAAATAGAAAATAATGTGATACAACTAGCTTTTGCCATGGTATCCGTCTGTGCAGGAATAAAAAAAAATAGTAAACCGTGTATCCTTCCAGATTTTGTTCTACATCTTTGTAAAATTTTTAGTATTGATGCATTCTTGAGGCATTTATGTACATACACCATCATAAAATAGTTTCAAAACTTACCTGAGCAAAACAGCAAGGTATAAAACTAGTATAGTACGCTTCTATGAGAGAGTTGAACAGTATTTTAATTAATCTCATATTGAAATCTGCGGTCAATGTATCAGCTTCATTCCGTGCATGTTGTGGCTCATGAGAGCAACTGTGTAATGGTGGGTTACCACTGTTCAACTCTAAAAATGGACTTAACTCAAAGCCAAACAATATGAAGTATAACACCACTCTGGAAATAACACAAGTGATTGATAAATAGCAGTTATAAGTTCGATTAATCTGGTAACCTCGGGTTTCTGAGACCAAAATATTCATTTAAAAATTATCAATTTTGTCAAAGACAATGATGACTATACAGAATTTTTGGTCTCAGAAACCAATTTTAAGTACTAACATAAATTACTAGCGGTCGCCGGCGACTCTGTTCGCGCGGAATTATAATAAAAAACATAACAAGTAGTCTATGTGTTCTTCCAGACTATGTACTATATGTATGCCAAATTTCATCGAGATCTGTTCAGCCGTTCCTGATATACCTTCAAACAAACATCCATCCATCCATCTATGTTTAGCAAACAATAATAATTAAATTATCAACTTACGGATAAAATAGATAAAGAGTCTCCAAGAATACATATTTAAGTGCAATGAAATATGTACACCATGACAGAGATCCTAAAATGACGCCCAGTACAAATGTTCTGTAAGTAAAAAATATAGTTCAAAAATAGCTAATTAATAAAAACAGTTAAACAAATATGAGCTGGCAAAAGCTGGATGAGAGTGGCCGAGGATCGTGCTCAGTGGAGTGCTATGGGAGAGGCCTATGTCCAGCAGTGGACTAGTATAGGCTGATGATGATGATGATGATGAAACAAATATTCTAAACATATTGTGAATTATTTCAAACTATAATAAAAACTCAAAGACATTTGTTTCCAACTAAATGTATATTTTTCGTACATGTTGTAACATGTTACAATTTTCTACCAGACTTAGAACCTTTTCTAGACATTGTTAATGTACTTATTACGTATTTTGTATAAATCAGTAAAAAAACTATTAAAAGGTATATGAAATTAAATGTTTTTTTTTATATCACAAGGTGGCAAACGAGCGAGCGGCCACCTGAAATCGCTGAAATAGGGAAGTGACCGTTGCCCATAGACATACACAATTGCATATGCGTTGCCTACCTTTGATCGACGGAAGAGAGAATGCACAGAAAGAAAATATTTTCCCTTTCTATGCATCCTCTCATCCAGAAAGTCCACTTCCATTTCCCATCCTTTCCTTATAAGAAAAAGGTGGGAAGGGAAAGAGGACTAAATTAGGACTCCGGGACGCACACTCATCAGGCGAAACGCGGAATAGCTTCCACTTGACGCCTGTCTTCTGTGTGGTCGTGGTATTTCACCGGGCGAGCCGGGACAATTCGTGCGAAGATGTTAAAGCGGGCTCTGCCACTGTGAAAATGTACTATAATAACAGTCATTCTGTATAATATAATATAAATAGAATTTTTTTTTTTGTCTTTCAAAGTACTACTTTTATGCACACAACAATATTTGTTATTTTAAGTCTTGTAAAATTACTATAAATGCTAATATTACTATTCTTAAATATTATTAGTTGGAATCCTTTGGCGCAAATAGCGCGATGTCTTAAGTGTCAGATCGGTTAGTGCAGGGACTTTAACCTTGATATTTTAATATGGCTAGTGTTAGACCGGCACAGTGTTAGACCGGCACAGTGTCAGATTATCTTCCTAACAATAGTGATATTGAGGAAGTTAAGTAGTGGATAGATGTTGATTATTTGTGTTATTTGACTTACCTAGCAGAGTTTGTAACATGAGGCATTAACTTTGGTGTAATAAATTGTCTCGAAACTGCCAATACTATGCTTAAGAATAACCTTCGACTTATTATTGTCACTATAAATGCCACCAAATGAGGGTCTATCAAATAAAAATTCTGAAACAAATATACAAGTTAATATGAACAATTTTTAGTATAAAATTGTTAGAAAACTGAAAAATGTATTTTTACGAAAATTTATATAATATAAGGTTCTTTTAGAGATAAGTAATAACCAACATTCGTACATCTAAACTTTGACACTTATAATAATAAAATTAAAATTAATTAATAAAATCAGTTTTAAATAAATAAATAAAGTAAGATCGGATCAAGACTGTGTGAGTATCCTAGATGTGTGCCCCCAGGACTGATCATCGTGGTGATCATTAGAAGAGGTCTATGCTCCAGCAGTGGGCGTCATTTGACTGAAGAGAGACAGATAGAGATTTGGTTGTAAAAATAATTAAAAATGTCAAGATTAAAAATAATAAGTGATAACTTACCATTGCTTGATTAGTGTATGAGTGTGGTAACCACCATGCTGTCCTGTATAGGTTAAGAAACTGTAATCCTGCTGCCACAAGTGTGAAGACAAAATTCATAATCTCAAACAGGAGTTCACTATCTTGTGGGATATATGGAAATGGTATATGTTTTGGTTGTTGCACACCATCCATCAACTTAGTATCTGTTCCGACATTGCCTGATGGTGGTACTGCTGATGATATTCGGGGCGCACGAGACATTCGTTTCCCACCACCATTCATATCATCTTCAAGTAAAGGTACTGTCCCCTGGAAGATACAAAATTAATTTGGTATGTATAACATACCATATATATAACATTCATTTAAGTTCTAGTATAGAAAGTGAAATTAATCTGACAATATTTTTGCTTTTAAATGTTCATAGATAAATTAATAGAAATTTGTTTATTAATCATTTCAAGTTAGTTGTACAAAGTACTACATTGTTGCTGTGTTGTGACATGTTGACAGCAAGGAATACCATGATAGGAAGTTCCTTAAAAAAACGAAGAACTAATTTAAGATAAAATGTCTAAATCAAACCTTCCTAGCAACTCCAGAAGCCTTCTTTGTCCCTGGAGGGACCATTTTACAGGCAATCGGCGGCAAAGGCCGCTTTACAAGCGGATCTTTGATAATTTTTCGTCGTCTGGAAACAGCTGTGGACGATGTGTTGCTAACTTGTGAATTAGCCCAGCGCCTAGCCAATAAAATGGTCAGGCAGCCCACAATCGCTGGTAGGAAGAATACCACAAAAGGTCCATTTTCATTTTCGGTACAACTCATCACTCACATGATAAAATGTCACAATACTTTATTTTGACTCTCACACAAGACGCGTCCGTCAAACTCACTTAAGCACAAATCACAAATTCCAACGAAATCTCACGAAATCACGACTTCAGGGACTTGAATCAATGACAATGACATATGACATAAGGAACATAACTAGGGATGGCTCTATCTCTATCTCTCTCTCTATCTAAATGTCGAGATGTACGCAGAATCGATTTTAAAATTTGCTGAAAATGTGGTTGCTGAAATATAATTACACGAAATACTACTAATAATAATTTATAAATAATTATAACTAAATACGGGCCTGGTAACTAGTTTTTTTTAATTACTCAGTCTGGCATACTAAAAATTACAATTATTTTGTAGTATTCGGTTAATATCCGGCTCCAAAAATCATTTGTGATAACACTTGACAGATTTGCGATATGGTTCATTATCAACTCAACACTATATCCAATATCGATTAAAAATTCTAACTTAAATGCATCTTGATTCACGCCGGTTACCGGTATTGTGTACAGCAAAAATGTTTTATAATTTTATTTCATAAATATTGTTAATAGGAAAATGTCGTTCACAATACTCTGTTCCTTTGTGATTGCCTTCTATGTAGTGATATGGTTTTTTGATTCTTTCTTCAAGGTATGGGTGTATTCATGAGTATTGATATGTTTACAAAACAATTTCTTTAATATTTGTTTGTTTGTTTACAGAGTTGTATGCACTATCCTTATTACGCATTCCTGGATGGGACCGGTTTGAAAGTCGGAATACTAAACTTTTCATGGACTACCTCTGCCTTCAATAGATTTTTATATAGATGGAGTAAGAATCTCTCTAGGATTCTTCGAAAATGGTTTACATGTGGATATGTCTTCACAGTGTGGTTATTCCTCCCGTTTGCCCTGTGGACGCTTCTTACTTTTATTCTTGAACACTTTTATGACCCAATTGACATAGGCAGCATGCCTGAAATTAGAGGAGCATTGCCTGGAGTTAACATACCAGTTTCGGACTTTTGGGTATACTTTCTCGCAATGGGAATGAGTAGTATATTCCATGAACTTGGTCATGCATTGGCAGCAGCTCAAGAAGATGTCCAATTAATTGGTGTAGGTGTTTATGTATTTGCAATAATACCTGTAGCATTTGTTCAATTAAATACTGAACATTTGAACAGTCTCGCAATTACAAAGAGATTGAAAATTTACTGTGCTGGTGTTTGGCATAATGTAGTATTAGCATTTGTTGCCATGTTACTTTTCTTTTCATCACCTATTATATTCAGTATAGCTTACGAGAGTGATATTGGAGTCAAAGTTACAGCTATGTCTGAAGGATCACCATTGAAAGAAGTAAGAGGTTTTAATATAGGTGATGTAATTACTAATGTCAATGGATGTGACATAAAGAATGCAAAAGATTGGATCCGTTGTCTTCATGAAGCTCATAGTAGATACGGAATATGTACGAGTGCTGAATTTGTAGCTCAAAATGATGAAATAATGATGGAAACAGTTAAAGAAAATGATGTAGTTGAATGTTGTAGGAAAGATGATTTGTACAGTTTATGTTTTGAATATATGGAACCGAAAGTAGTAGTTGATTCTGTATTACCAGGTCAATATTCTTGTTTGAAACCAAGAGATATGGTGAAGAATAGATTGATTAAATGCACAGACCAAGGTGGTTACAGTTGTCCAATCGGTATGCATTGTTTGAAGCCATCTTTAAATAGTTCTTTCTTAATTATTATTGAAAGGAAAGATGATCACGCTGTTTTATATTTAGGTGTTCCGTATGATTTGCATGAGACAGTTACTGTAGACCAGTACTTCCCTCGTTTATCTTTGTTCTCATTTTTCTCACCATCTCAATTTGAAAAACTCTTAAGGTATGTGTTCATTTTTTCAATGGGCATAGGATTTTTGAATGTTGTCCCTTGCTATGGTACAGATGGACATCATATTATGCGAAGTATAATACAGATTATTGCAAAATATTTGAACAGGAATGGTGATTTTGTTACATTTTTTACAGTTTTTTCTGTAGTCGTAGGAACAGGAGTGACAGTACCAATTGTAATTTATGTTTTCTACAAAGAGGTTTATATGTATAGTTAGTTCATGCCAAAATGCACCACATTACATTATTTTGTAGAGTTTTTATACCGCTAATGTTTTTTTTGTAAATACATAGTCAATATTTTTATTTAATAAAAAATAAATAGGATTAATTGTTTTAATTAATAGATTGTTCTATTAGAGAAATAATTTTTCATAAATTTTCAGGTTTTAGCAAGTAAACAATGTTTGTGAGATAATTTAGTTTTATTAAGCTGTGATTATTTAAAATTAAAAATACGATTCAAGTATTAAAAGCAATGTTCTTTATCTTGTATTTATTAAGCCATATTTTTAGAGTTAGAAATTTGTTAAAATGACTAATTTAGCTAATCTATGGTAACATATCAAAAGTAATATTACAGCCCAGTTTTATACAAAGGCTTTCAATGACGTAATAAAGACACAAAAGAAACAAAGTATTGTAATTTAAATAAAAAATACTTTTTTTCAATTAATCTATTTATTTACATTTCACACAATCTGGTTTGTATGTCTACTTTTCATGTGTACATTAAACTTAAAAAAAAAACATTGCAATCAAGTTTATGTAAATAATGCATCATCAAAGTACAAGGATAAAGGTATTATTTACAATAACTAATTAAATTCAGACATCTATGTTATTATAAAAACCTATATCAGCTTTTACTTAATGCCAATGACCTTTCTAAATCTTTCAATGATTTTCTTCCATAATATAACATACTTTTGATTGCTGTCTCATCTCTATGATGCTTGTTATTTCTGAAGTCACTCCTAGCCCAATCCTTAAGTTCGGAACGTGTGCTTTCATCTGATATTTTGCGTAATGTTCTAAATATATCTCTATATAATTTCAACACTTCTTGTCTCAGAAGAAACTGAAAGTAATTAAGTTTATAGTAAATTTAAATACGCTGTATTCCTTTACTTGTATAATTTGATGTTTCGATTCGTTACCTGTTTCAAATTAAGTGTCGTCTTTGGCAGTTTTGATGTCATATTTTCGTAGCGATAAAAATTTTTCTTTGAAACTGCTTTAACAGTTCAACATTTTTTGTAATATAAAATAACAATAAACTATTTAATAAAACTAATTAATTAAACTACCAAAATAATACTATAAACTATATACTAAAACTAAACCAAACTAAAAATAAAACTAATAATAATTTTGTAATAGTAATTGATTTTTTGTAAATTCTTTATTTTGCAGTAAGATTTATTTGTATCCTGAAAATGTCAAAGTGACATTTATTGACAGAACAGCTGTTTCTAATGACATATGTGACACAATATTTGCGTTCCATTTTGCAACAAAAATCGGCTAATTGTACGCCTATAGTTCCTGCCCATGAAAACTATTTTATAGTCCGGAAATCTCTAATACATCTTATCAGAACTAAGAAAAATATTAAAGTAAAAATTTCGTCAGCATGTCTGTGTCTTTGTGGGCGCTAATCTCAGAAACGACTTCACTGGCTCGGGTATGATTTTCACACACACACAAAGATGTATGCAGAGACCAGGAACCTCCACTTGGCTCGGTCCTGACACATCTCGCTTATTCTAAATTCATATATGTATCTATCTACGCATACATACACGTCGATTTCATTCATTTAATTATAATATAATTCAGTTGTTTAAACTTGTCTTCTTAAATTTTTCTTGTATTATATATTACAATAGGTATGTTTCGAAGGTGTAAGGTCCTTCGAAAAATCGTGGTCGAGCGCCTACATCGCCCACGCCTTCCTTCGTTTTTGCAGTTACAGAAAACAGAATAATTGTTTTCTACTTTACTTAAGATGTGATTTTTGATTGCGGCAGAAAACTAAGTTGTTTTTACACGGATACGGCCAATTTGTAAAAGACATGTTGTTAAATGAAGACCTACCATTATTAGCTAAAATTTATAATTCGACTCATCCAGTAGTTATGGCTTGTTCTGATTTTGTCTAACTAGTCTCCCGCGAATGTCGCCTTTGTGTACTATGCCAAATTTCAGCGAGAACTATGCTGTCGTTCTGACGGTACCTTTTAACAAACATTCGCATTTATAATATTACTAAGACTGTAAACGATAAACATTAACGTGTATAAATTCAATCTCTAGAAATTATCTATTAGATAAATGGTATATTGTTGCCAAATTATAATTAATTGCATGCAATTGAGATATCAGAATGTATATCTGTAATAATCATAAACTGTGCTGTAACTTTATCGTATTTAATGGATAAAATAAGATTGATCTTATATCACTAGACCCACCGTGGAAATATTTCTTTGATTGGTGATAATAAATAATAAAAATAAAAAAGAACATACAGACGAATTGATAACCTCTTTCTTTTTGATGTCGGCTAAAATTTTTTTTTAAAACCTCATACATCTGGGGATTAAAGTCATTCAGCCTTTATTTATAACCCGATTGAAACACGGGTAAAGTTTTTGCGTTTATGTAATGTATAAAATTCCATTTCATCTTATTTTTTTCATTTAATTATTTTATTTGATTTCTCTCTTCCCAAACTTTAATTATGTATATTTATTTCTTAATTTTCTTATACTTATTCGAGCTTTCCATTAATATATTATATATATTTTTTTATATCCCAAGGTGGCAAACGAACGAGCGGCCACCTGAAATCGCTGAAATAGCGAAGTGACCGTTGCCCATAGACATACGCAATTGCATATGCGTTGTCTACCTTTAATCGACGGAGGAGAGGATGCACAGAAAGAAAACACTTTCCCTTTACATGCATCCTCTCATCCGGAAAGTCCACTTCCATTTCCCATCCTTTCCTTATAAGAAAAAGGGTGGGAAGGGAAAGAGGACTGAATAAGGCCTCCGGACGAAACGCGAAATCGCTTCCACTTCACGCCTGAAAATATAATATGTTAAGATCATGTGTTACCTTTTACATTAAAAAAAAATAATTTTTATGTTGTAATATTATATTATTAACGTCAAAAAGAGTTACCGCCCAAAACTCCTCTAGTTTTCAATAAGCTCCGCCCCTTGAGCGAGCGCGGGAAAATATCGCAGCTTTTTGATGCGAATATCCACCTTCGAGCTAAGCTAAGCGAAAGCGCGAACTTCGAAATCGAACAGTCGCGGGCTGACTGCCGTGCGAGACGAATGTGTAGTGGTTTTCCTCTCGCGGATGAAATGTTTACGCGATCATCGAAGTTACTTGTGACATGAAAAACTTTGACAACTGTCCAACATATACTTTGTGTTTATTTTGGTGAATTGGCTGTTTTTATTCGACATGGATAATAAAACACCGACAAATTCTTCTCCGCCGCGGGCTCAAGTTAAGAAAGAAAACGAAGAAGAGATCAAGGTAAGATTTAATTGTAGACAATTTCAAGGATGGAGTGCGACTTCCGTAGGAAGTTGGTCATCGAATTACTTCGTATATTTGGCAGGCGGACTGTTCCGTCTCGTAACACTACACTCGATGGTATATTTTTAAATTCGATACGTTCGCCGCGGCTCTCGTAAGGTTCGCGGGGTTGTGCCGAATAAATTATTCGAGATTCGGTTACAATATTAATTACGTTTCGCGATACACAATAAAACTCGTGTTATATCACGTTTTCGAGGCCTTTTCCAGCCATTAAAGTGTGTAATGCGATATCCGAAGCGCGCTCGGATCGCTGTAACCGGAGTCGGTGGATGTTTTGATAATAGATATAGGCGACGTGGTGGTGTGCAAGCGTCGCTATAGCCGTGTGCCGGTGTGCGTGCGGGGTAATTTTAGACGTTCCTTTGCTCAAAACGTAACTCGAGACCGTCCCAGGCCGCAAGCCGACGCCTCGATTTATTGTTTTCATCTGATTATCGCGTAGTACGTGTGGTGATAACGGAGTGCCGTAATAGCGCGCAGGACGCCCCCGCGGATTCGCGCGCTTTTTTTCTATTTTGGCGCCGCGGAAATAGTTTGACATGTCAATGAACCCGCCAGTGACCACGCGCGTGACGTCACAGGACGCGACCACTCGCGATTCAAAAGAAAATTTGAGGTCGATACAATTTATAACACCTATTACAAGCTTAGACGATCTAAATTTTTAAACACGTAATGGTTTTTTATTTTTGATATGTTCGTTCTGGTTACAAAGACGGCGGCGGTTGCCTCATCGGTTTACTTTTAGCATTTCATCTCAAAATTATCATGATTTAACCTAAAATCTAAATGTTGCTTTCAGTAACTAAGAGGAAATTACGCTAAAACTTAAAATAAACAGGACCTGAGAAAGAGGTGCCAGGAACACAGTAAATAACTATTATTAAGTCCCTCTTATTCTCTTAAAAAAAGAAAAAGACAACATTATTTTTGTATCTTTGTACAGATTTTGTCAGTGGAACAGCTAGTTATCAAAGTTGTTACATGATTTATGAATATTTTCGTTCTAAATGCAAATTGCAGTATTCAAACAGTATCGCCATCAGCCTGCAGTCAATCACGCGTCATGTTATGACGATTTGACATGTTTTGAGGAAAGTTACAGTAAACGATATCTATATAGTGACTATAAGTTTAGTAACTTTAGGTATTAGTCCCACTATAAAAAAAATCTATTATGTCCGGTCGATTGGAATCATCATCAGCTAACTATACGTCCACACTGAGGGGATCAGAGCCTACCGTAAGTTAGGGGTGATTAGGCCTTAGTCAACCACGCAGGACTTCACACATCTTTGAATTTCTACGCAGATATGTACATGTTGCATCACGATGTTTTCCTTAATCGTAAGAACGTCGGATAAATATACTTATGTGAATCGAAAATCGAAAGATTTGAACTTTCAATTTCAAATTTATGTGTACTATTTTACAAAGATCCTAAGATCTTTTCACATGGGAACGTTAAAAGTGATTTTTTTATAAAATTATTAACATATTGTTTAAATTCCCGATTGATTACTTTCATTTAAAAACCTCTTTATCTATTGTAATAGATTTCAATCGTCGGGAAAGAAAAGATTTATAAAATTATGTTCTCAATATCGAACCTTACTTGTTATATCGTCAAATGTCAAACATGGTTACCCTAGTACGGGAAAATGTAACCAAAATAGGGAATCCATGTTTATTAGATTTACGGATAGATTTGTCTGTCAAATATTGCTATGTTTCCTTAAAGTATGATAGTGTTTACTTCCATTGAATTATATTTTAAAAGTGAAACTATTTTGCAAATATTGTGAAAGAGAATATGCGTAAGAAGGGGGAAGATTCAGATATGACTGCTGATAGAGATGTACGGATGGATGGATGTATGTATGTACATACTGTGCCGACCCTCTGTAAGGATAAGAGCAGGTTGATGACGTCATTTAATAATTTTAGATTTTTTAAATAGGTCTTACAGATTATTGGTACAAGTTTTTTAAATAAAATTGTTTTCCTGTATCAAGATTTCACAATAACTAATTATACAAAACGCTAAAATCTATACTAGTATTATAAAGCGGAAGAGTTTGTTTGTTTAAACGCGCTAATCTCAGGAACTACTAGTTCGATTTGAAAAAAAAAATTGTTGGATAGTCCATTTATAGAGGAAGGCTTTTGGCTATAAAACATTACGCTGCGACCAATAGTTTTTTTTAAATTAACGCGCGGACGGAGACACGGGCGCCGGCTAGTCTTCAAATAAACTGCTACTTTTTTCCTTATTTTTTCAAATGTTGGTAACAAAAAATGCGTAACAGTGAACACGCATCTTCCACTTGGTAACTATCTGACCCAGATCAACGCACAAATCTGTAAAATCAGCAATGAGTCAAGTTATTGCCAAATATCTGCATTACAACAGTAAGCTAAATCTCAAACGTTCGATTAAACCTAATTTAAAATAAGCAACGTCATTAGTTTTATTGTATCTGTGGCCTTTCGATACATTTTTCCAGAAATGACAATAATTAATATTAAATTCGTAAAAATATGAGGCACGTAATTTTACAAGTAAAAGCAATGGTTAAGATATTGTTTAAAATTAATTAATAAACTTAGCATGTTATTTATAGTCAACTAGATCGAATTTGTAAACTAATATTATAAATGCAAATGTTTTGATGGATGGATGTTTGTTAGAAAGTATCTCAAGAACAAATCAACGGATCTTGTTGAAATTTGACATAGATGTAGAACATAGTCTGGAAGAACACATAGACTACTTAAGTTTTTTTTTTAAATCCACGCGTACTGAGTCGCTGGCGACAGTTAGTCAGTAAATAATTTGTAAATGATATTTACGATTACCGTACAAGGAAGTTTTTATCTATGCGTCATTTCTCATTCCGCCAGTAGTTAGTTCTCTCCTTAACTCTTATCCTTTACTTCATATCATCTT